TCTATTGAAACTGCTCATGTCAATGACATGCAAGTTGCTGCCTAATAGTCATTTTCATCCTTATTTTACTTCTGAACAGCATTTGATAGAACTGACCATCACGTCTTCCTTTATGACTTTCCTCACGCAGTTTTCAGGATACAACACACACCTACGCCACCGGTAATTCTTTTCCATCTCACTTAGCTTGCTACTTCTCTTCTCTGATCCCTTAATGTGAGGGCTCAGCTCTTGGTCTTCTTATCTTCTCTCTATACATTTCCTCTCTTGGCCACGCAGATCAAAAAATGAACAATGTCATTTTTGAATACACTGAATACTCACAATAAAAATATGAACAAGTGTTGGTGAGGAGATGGAGAAATTTGAACTCATATGCATTGTTGGTGGAGTATAAGATGGTGTGGCCCCTTTGGAAAACAGTTCTGTAGTTATTCAAAAATTATACATAGTGTTACCACTTGACCCAAAAATTCTAGTCTTAAGATATATACCCAAGGGAATTGAAAACATATGTTCACACAAAAACTTATACATAAATGTTCATGGTAACATGATTCATAAGAGCCAAAAAGTGGAAACAACCAAAATGACCATCAACTGATGAGTGGATAATCAAAAGGTGGTTCTATCTACTCAATAGACTACTATTCAGCCATAAACAGGATTGACGAACTGATACAACATACAACAAGGATGAATCTAAAGAGCATTATGCTGTTTTGAAGAAGCTAGACAAAAAAGCATGTATTGCATGATTTTATATGTGAAATGTATACAATAGGCAAGTCCATAGAGACAGAAAGTACATCAGTATTTTTCAAGGGCTGAGGAGAAAAAGAAATGGGGAATGACTGCTACTGAAAATGGGATTTCTATTTTGATGAAAATACTCTGTAATTGGTGATGATGGTTACAATAACCTTGTGAATATACTAAAAACAACAGAATTGTACACTTAAACTGTGAATTTTATGGTATCTAAATTATATCTTAATTAAAAAATAAAAACTACAAGGCTTTGAGCTTCCATTCCATAGTTTACATGTACAGGACCAGCATCCTGGGCTAGATTTATTACTACAGATGACTGGATCTGTCTTTCAGGTTCATGGAAGTCAATCAATAAGGAAACCATCCTGGATTAAATAGTTCATACATGACAAATGAATTCTGAAGTTAGAAACTTTGTCCTGGGAATACATGTTAGGAAAAATTATGATGTAAATCTTATATCAGGGGCTATTAGGTAATACAATAGATGCTGTCTTTGCGGTTTTGCCTAAGACACAGAAACATTCTTTGGAAGGATGTCTTCTATTGACCAACTCTAAAGGATTAGGGCATAGAATCAAATTGCAACTAACTCTATAAAGGAATTTTTGCCAAAATAGTATAGCCTATTTCCAGATGATCCAACTTTTATAAAGATAAGCTGATGAGGCCAAAAGACCCAAAGAATCACATTTCCTTAGACCAACTTCCCCAAATACCAGATGTCTCAACTGAACATTTGGCAAGCATTAGGAGGCAGTCTAAATTCTGATTTGTATTGCTGATTAAATAAATGTCCATATGTTTTTGATACTGGATACGCAGGTAGCAAAGTCAATACACTGTCATGAGAATTTCGGGGCTTGATTTATACCCTTATCCAGTCAAAGAGCCATGGTACTTCCAGCTGGGGTGAACTCCAGAGGAACCTACAGATGGAGGTAAAACGTCTTCCAGCTTCAGAAGAGAATTCTGAGTCCTCTCAGTTGGACAAGCACTTAGTTGAGAGTCCAGCATTTCTGCTGTTAGACATGGAAAGCATAATCTTGGTCTGAAAAAACTCTACGTACAGGTGTTTTTAATCAACTGCTTCTATCATGAAAGCATTTCAGTAGAATCCCTGCAAAACATGTCGCTGGTGTAGATCTGTGCTTTTAACAAACTAGCTCCAAGTAGATGAATGACCTATTTGGATTTAAGGTATGTTTGTTTTGGATACTATAGTACAGTGCTTTTCTCTACAAATGTTTACTGAATGAGTGAATGATTTAATGAATCTATATTATATTATCAAGGTAATATTAGAGTTGAATATTTTTCTTATACAATTTTAATAGGAATGCCAAGCTATAAGTGAAGCTTTCTCAGATGACAAAAAGATTTTCCTTTTAAAAACTGATTGATTACTGATATGTCTTCCCCATTATGTTATAAGCTCTTTGATAATGTTATTCACCTTTGCATCCTCCACACAATGCCTACTCCTGTGCAAGGTCCATAAGCAGATGCTCAAAAAACAATAGGAGAAAGATACGGAATAGAATTAATTGGGATTGTTTTTTACACTTCAAATTTTGGACGCAGAGTCTGTTCAGCAGTACCAAAGCAGGTCTGTGGAGTGGATACTCCACCCCAGAAGCTAAAGGAGGACAGCTCTTTCCTCTCTCCTCCCTCTGACAGCTGGAGTGCAGGTCAGTGACTAGTCACAGCCAAAGAGACCTTAGTAGCAGGGACTTTGAATCTGGAGGGAATGACTGAAGGATGCAGGATTACTTACGTGTTAATTTGAAATACCAGCGGCAGAACTGTGAGTCTGCAGCACAGCCACTGGTCTCCGAGCATGGAGGTGACCGCAGCTAACTAAGCATCCTAGTCCCATGGTAAGAATTTGGCCTTGTCTTGCCAATGATCTTTATTCCTGCCCCAGCCTGACTTTCCAGGTATCTGTCAATTCATGAGCCACCCATGTAAACTGAAGAGTAAATTCAAAGGCAATCCAAAAGTATATTAAAAAAGAAACCTAATATTACCTTTTGTACTCACTTTCTTGGAAGATGAATCACTTCTTACCCATTAACTCAGGCAAATAACAATTATATTTTTTCAACCATACTGCTCTCTCTCAAATTTTCCTAGCCCTCCTATGATACACAGTTATCTTTTAAAAACTCCAAATGTCTATCTAGGTTTTAAATATCCAAGATATTGCAAAAATTTTCCCACTATGTTAAAGAAATGAAACAATGGAGTAAAGAGATTTTTTAAACTCCTATATATACACAATAGCCAAAAGCAGGAACCACTAAAGTGAATACTTCATCAATGGATCAAGAGATTTAAAATAAGGGGCTTCACTGGTGGCTCAGTGGTAAAGAATCTGCCTGTCAATGCAAGAGACACTGGTTCTATCCCTGGTCCAGGATGATCCCACGTGCTGTGGAGCACATAAGCCCATGCATCACAGCTACCGAGCCTGTGCCCCAGGCCTCGGAGCTGCAGACAATGGGCCCACATGCTGCAACCACTGATGCCCGAGCGCTCGGGAGCCCAGACTCTGCAACGAGAGAAGCGCTACAACGAGAAGCCTGCGCACAGCAGCTGAGGAGTAGCCCCCACCTTCCACAACCAGAGAAAGTCCATTCAGCAACGAAGACTCAGCACAACCAAAAATAAAACTAGGTAGAGCAAGTTTTAAAATATGGTGTATCCACACAATGGAATATTATTCCACCATGAACAGAAAGCAAGCACTGACACATGGATGCATGAAAACATTATGCTTAGTGAAAGGATTAAGATAATGATGAGGTTTCCACAACACTGTAAATATACTAAATGCCACTGAATTGTACACTTTAAAGTGGCTAAAATGGTGAGTTTTATGACATGTGTTTTACCACAGTAAAAAATTTAAATTCAATATCCCCCAAATTAGGAGAAATATAAACCAGAATATTTTAAACCTGATTCCTTCTGTTTACAAGAAAACATAATGGCTTGTCAAAAGAATTTCTGGTTATAAAATCTTTGTAGTTCCAACTTTCCCTTCGAACTCTCAGTGGAGTTGTGTCATTATGTAATCAGGTTTCCGTATTAAGAAATTACCTTGTGTCTGGCGAGAGGAAAGTAAAGCTCTTCCAAAACGCATTTAATTTATCTCTGATTACAATCACAACTCCTCTCATTTAGACACAATGAGGAAGTTGTGAAAATGAAATACAGTTTAATGGATCTTGACAAATACAATTTTTCCACTCTGGCAAAGTTTAAAGCCCTCTTATTACAACACTTACTCAATTTCCCAAAGATGTGGGACTTCACATAGGAAAAATGGGCTGAAGATGCTGGTATTTACATAATTCTTCAAACTGGGGTAACAAGAATGTGCTGCAGGTTGCTACCCCATAATTGGATGGCTCATTATTGTAAAATATTTCAAGTTTGCTCAGTGGAATACAGGGAAATGACACTAACTTGGTCTTTTACTCTAGAATTTTATAACTCCTTAATCTTTTTATTTCTATCATTTCCCCAAACCTCACATACATCATCAGTAAAAGAAAAAAAAAATGTGTGTTTATATGTTTAATTGTATAAACACACACACACTCACACATATATTCTAAGACCTTTCAATTATTGTTTTCCAATCCCAATAGAACTGGAAAAGAAAGACTTACATACCAAGAATCCAACTTTCAAAGTATTGATTTCAGTGTGTGTGTATCAAAGCGGGAGTGACTGTCTTTTCATTCTAAGAAGCAAAAATGGTGATCTCTTTCCTGATTTATATTTTCTGCAATACACTAGGGTAAACTGAAATACCAGCGACTTCAAGTTCTATTTCTCAACTTATTGAAAAATGTGTATTGCATAAAAAGGCATTCTCAATAACCTCTTAGGGGGAAAACTGCAAGATTTCCCCATCAGATTCCTTGGAAGAAACCATCTTAATTCTTTTATAAATAGCAAAAGCAATTTCATTTCAGAAGTCCTTAAAATGCAATGACTTCATTTACTTTTAGAGGCTTTATTAAAGTAGGTTTTCACCCCACACTCTTCAGAGCAGGTGCCTGTAATAAAAACAGTCCTCTCACCTGATCCGTTTCCTGTGCTTTCTGGGTGTGAGAGCACTAACTCACCCTGAATTCATAAGGAAGATATTACTGCCAAGTTCCACGAAGCCCTCTGAGAAATTCGTCAGGGCTACAAACTACTGACCTTACCCTAAACCCATCTGCTTGCAGGCCAGCTGACTCAGGGCCTCCTGCCAGCCATCTGCACACACGTGGCGTTCCACGGCAGATCTGTGAGCCATCAGGAAGGAGGAGGAGTTCGCGTTTGCAGAGAGGGTCACTGAGCGGGGAAAAAAGCAGGGGAACTCTAATTTAAAACATCTCTTCTCACGAAACCACATGACAGCATGCCTTTATTTCACTTGCAGACATTCATCTTTATTTCTTTTAGCTAAAAACTATTTGGTGAATTCTTCTGCTCTGCAAACCACAGTTATCGCCGTGTGGCAAAGGACTAGGAAATGAGTCAGACGTGTTCTCTGCCCTCAAGAACCAGCGACTCTTAGGGAAATGTCAGGCAATTCTCAACATTTCATTATGAGTTAGAAGATGGCTGGAGGCAGTCCCCTTCCTGTGAGTTTATCCAATGATTTGCATAATTAGAAGGAGCTAGTTGCAACTTCATTCAAATTGTTTCCTTTTAAGAAGGTCTTTGAGAATGTAAATGTGTGAGTGATATTAATTTTGGATTGATGTGGAATATGGGATAATTCTTCTTTTATGAAAGAAAATACTCTGTACTTCATACACCACAGATCATTTGTATAAACATTGCACAGTTAATGACAATACATTTTGTAATTATGATTTGGCCAGATGATGCCAAAGTAAGGGCCAAGGGAATGCAAAGAGGCATAAGTGTAGGATGACAGAATGAACCAAACTCAGGATTATAAACTGCAACATTGGGACACCAGTGGGAGATGCCTTTAAATCAAGGGCACGGAAGGGAGTAGATGGATAGAAATCTCATCTGGATTTGGAGCAAGAATATTGGGCCGAGAGAAAGGCCTCCTTTATAACTTATTCCAAGTAGTGTCAGTGATATAAGAATGACCAACTATTGATAAATGTTAAAGTTGGGGGATGATAGAGCTTAAAACTATATTCATATGGAAAGTTATATGATCATATAAATTTGAACCCAAATATTTTCATATGTAAGACAGACAATAGAGAAGTAACCTGGGGGGAAGTGTTCTTTGAGTTGGACATAGCATGTACAAATCACCGCTGACTGCTTTTACAGTAGTAAAGCAGAATAGATGAACTTGGTTGGTAAGATCCATAAAACCAGTTAGGGTTCATTTAACTTAAATGGCTGCCGGGCGTCAGAGCAGATGGCAGAAACAAGCAGCTCACCGCAGTCCCACTCATCGGAACTGTCTACGCAGTCGGCTTCGCCGTCACACCACCGGTCACGGGACACACACTCGTGGTTGGCACATTCTAGCTCATCAGCTTGGCAAGATGCTGGCAGGGGAACAAGAAAGGAGGAGATAAACATTGTAGGAATGGATAGGATTTTCACTAACAGGCACCTCACGGTTTGCCAACAGGCGCATCAAAGGAGGGAAAGATGTGGTTGCTGGGGCCTTCCAGTAAGAGTCAGCACAGGGGAGCAAAGCTGCGGTCTCATCTCTGAGATGTCCATCCACACAAACGGCGAGCATTAAACAGCGCTACTACCTCCAAGGGGCTAAATTCTCTAGTTCTAACCACAGGATTGAAAAAGTGGTGCGCAGAGCAGCAGAAATCCCAAGATGAGAGCACAGAGCTAAAATCTGAAGGGGCTCGAGCTGAGCCCTGGGCATGAGCAGACTGAAGTCACTCTAGGATGAGACCTGCTCTGTCCACATTTATGACTAGTTTTATTTATTTTTTAATCTCTAGTATTAAGTGACTCTCAGAGTCACACACTAATCTTCTCTTGGGCTTTTAAAAACTATAGCCAAACTCCTTAATTGCCTATCTAACATCTATTACTTTTCTTTCTTCTTTCTTAAGGGAGTCTGATTTCTATTTAGGTTTCCACACCAGCCCCTGTCCAGGGAAAGAATCCTAAGTCGTTTAAATAAGACATGGCATTTTTTCACTACAATTGTATTTTCCTGAGTACAGTTATTAGCCCAGGAGCAAACATGGCATCTAAAATCAGGTCTCAGCTTGTGGTTTTGTAGGTTGTACTTTACAAGGTGGTTCCTGACCAAACCCTGCCATCTAAGGCTTCGTGTCCTAGCCTGGAAGAGAAGTGGCCTGGAAGACACACCATCTTTTCTTATTGGTTCTCCTGAAGGATGCTTCTAGACCAATATCATCATGCATATATTTTACACATTTGACTGTATTTGGCATATGTTTTTCCAAGTGAAGTTTTAGTCAAAAAGTATGAAAATACAAAAAGCTTTGACATGTATTTCCAAACTTCTCACTTATACAAAGTGAGGGGTAATTAATGTTTAAAATAAAATATCACATTGACAAATGCCCAATAAGGACTTACAGCAGTTTTTTTCATCCATGTTATCAGGGCAGTCTGGAAACCCATCACAGATGACTGTGTGCTTCAAACACTGTTTGCTGGATGGACATTCCCAAAGATCTCTCTCCTTACATCCTGGAGACAGAAGGAAAGGTTATGGGCAATAGATGTGAAGGTGAAAACACCTATGGCTTTGATCAAACAAAGTAAAAAAAAGAATGACAATATAAAGGGAGGATTTCTTTCTTCTTAACAAGTTTTGACTCCTGTATACCATGGAAAATGTAATTTTGAAAGTATAAATGCTTGGTAATCTCCATATGGCATTATAAATAGTAAATCTCTTCCAGGAGAAGATCAAAAGTGACATATGGGAAACAGGAAAAAAATGAATAAGCAACTGTACAGTAATGTTCATCTTTTGCTGTTCCTTTTGCTTTCTGAGCCAATTTGCCAACATATAAGACTCATCTCTAAAATGATAAGCTATGCTTTTAAGCAAATATGCCCAAACCTAGTGATCTAAATGTATATTATCTTAAAATGTAATTTCAATCAACAAATGGTAACGCCATCTGTGTGTTTAGCAAAAAAGGCAACTCCTATGCCAAATATCTACAAAACTAGTTTATGAGCCAGGTATGAAAGCCATTACCTTCAGTAATGTAGCCAGAAATCTAAGATTAGAAACTATCTATTATATGAGAAATAAACATAAAGACTATAAGCTTGAATGGTAATCTATTTATAAAATAACAAGCTCTTGCAATGAGCTCAATAAATGCCATCTGGTTCATAGACAGTCAATTTATATGTTTGCTAAAACACGCCAAATGTCTAGTTGCTCTTACTGCTCAGGTTGGACCCATGACTCTCACCATGCTGTGAGGGTGTGGAGGATGAGACCACATATTTTCGTCTTTGAGCATCCTGACTCCCCTGCCTAGAATGGCAGCTGGCCCTCAGTAGACTCCCAACACATATGAATTTTAAATGGAACTTTATTTCATGTAAGAAACAAACAGTCTCTTGTTCCTAGAAAAAGGTAGTTTAGTTTACAGTGAATGAAACACCAAGCAGTGATGAAATAAGGAGTGTCTTTAAAGATACTATTTCTCATCAGACCTATACAAATCATTCAGAGAAATGACATAGATGATTGACTCAAGTTTCTTGGAGTCCTTCATAGGAAAATAATCTGCTTTAAAAAGAATTTTCTTTGAAAAATTATCAAAACAAATTCACAGAAGAGAGATTTTTACTACAGGAAAAGTTAGGTTTAAAGTGTTTTAGATGCTTAGCAGGTAAAGAATCCACCAGCAATGCAGGAGATGCGGCTTTGATCCCTGGGTTGGGAAGATCCCTTGGAGGAAGAAATAACAACCCACACCCATATTCTTGCCTGGGAAATCCCATGACAGAGGAGCCTGGCAGGACGCAGAGTCAGACACAACTGAGCGACCAGCCATGCACTGTCGCACCATCCAGGGCCTCCCTGGTGTCGTGGTTACGACTCTGCACTCACACCGCAGGGAGCATGGGTTTCATCTCCGCTCAGGGAACTAAGATCCCACAGGCCACACGGCATGGCCAAATAAAGGGCGGGGAGGGGGTGGTTAATAAAAAGTACAATAAAATATTTTTAAAATAAAGTGCTTCATCATTCAAACATATAGGACAGTGGGAGAGTATCTGACCACAGAACTATATAGGAAATAGTGAGAATCCTTCATTAACTATCTGGAGTTGTCTTAGGCCCAGGGACATCTATTCCAGGAACTCATGGGGATATTATTTGGAGTTTTCAGCTAACTGAGAATACAGACATCATCTGGAATGTTCTTGCAATGAGACTCTCAGCACAAACGACACCCCTTGCTAGCAGATGATGAGAGAAAACAGCATGACTCTTTCTGACTATTCACAAGAGTACAGAGAGGGACTTGAACACATGGAATGAGCTGAGAAAAGACCACACAAGTCAATCCACTGGTACATAAGATCTGCATCCTCACAGAGGGTAATAATAGGAGAGAACACTTATTATCCACCATAAATCCACATTCTAGATAATAGTTTTAGTTCTTAATACCACAATGTCAGAATTACAATAATCATTTCCTAAGTGAGGAAACTGAAAGTTAGAGAAAATAAATAAATTGCTCCAAATCCAGCCTTATGGAGAAATCTCCAGTTGGGAAGAAGGTTCAAGTCCTTAGTTGTAGTTGTCTGTACGTTGAAAATACATAGCATGTGCCAGGGGTAAGAGCAAGGGAAACAGCTTAGAGGCAGACATCTGGATTTGAACCCCAGCTTCAATCTCATTAGCTATGTGACCTTGGATAAGTTTCTTAATTTCTCTGAACCTCTGTTTCCATATCTCTAAAATAGGAATAATAACACCTGCTACAAAGGGTTGCTATAAGGGAGAAATGAGTACTCTCTGGGCAGTAATTTCCCTTCTGTATATTCTCTTTTCTAATAAAAGTTTGTGCAGCCTAAAGCCCTCTTTTGTGGAGTTACGATGAACATAAATGAATTAGGATGAAAAAAGTTCAGGACATGAGTTCCATGGAAGACAATACTGTGATTTTGTGAAGAAACCATTCTCTCTTCAAAGTGACAGTTTTTGGTGTAATTATGCTTTAAATTTATGCTTTAAAAGGAAGAGGGTATGACTCCATTAAAAATGAAAAACAGATATGGATAGGATGGATGTTTAATGCAGCTGTAGGTTATAAAATCAAATAATTGTTGATGTCAGGATAACAGCCACCCCTGCACAGAGTCCACAGCCACGGCCACCACAGCGGCCACCATGTGTTGCTAAAGTGACAGTTCATCCCAGCTTTCCTGGGACTTTGCAGGTTTGAGTATCAGTCTACCCCCCCTTCCAAGAAACCGCTCGCAGTACCAGGCAAACCGGTATGGTTCATCGCCTAAGTGTGTCAAGCATTCTGCTAGGTTCTTAACTTATTCACTCTCATTTTCACAAAAATTTTGTGAAGCTGGCTTCCCTGTCTTGGGCACATCCCAGTTGAACTGGGGAACCTTGTCTCTCCATCAAAAAAGTTGTCATTCACAGACATAGAGAACAGATTTATGGACACAGTAGGACAGGGTTAGGAAGGAGAGGGTGAGATGTTTGGAGAGAGTGACATAGAAACATATGTTACCGTATGTAAAGTAGATGGCCCATGGGATCTACTTTACGACTCAGGGAACTCAAACAGGGGCTCTGTAACAACCTAGAGGGGTGGGATGTGAAGGAAGGTAGGAGGGATGTTCAAGAGGGAGGGGACATATGTATACCTATGGTTGATTCATGTTGATGTTTGGCAGAAGCCAACACAATACTGTAAAGCAATTATCCTTCAATTAAAAATAAATAAATTTTTAAAAAGTTGTCATTATAGGTGAAGAGAGCAAACCACCTTAAAACAGATGCTTCTTGTACTTTAAGAAGCTCTCAGTTACACAAGTATAAGGTAATTAGGTCTGCTCCTCAGGGCTGCTAACTTGATCAGTATCAAAAAAAAAGTATCGCCACGGAGGGGCTGCTCATGAGAGCAAGGGAGAAAGGCCCTTCTGCATCCCGGCGCTGGCAGAGGCTGGACCAGGCTGGATCTAGCCATCTTCAGCCAGCAGCTGTCCCAGTGGCTATGGATGTGACCTCAGAGCGGATCACGGCAGCTGAACAGTGAGGTTCAGGCCTGGCAGGTGTGACGGCCCCTCCAGAGCCTGGAACCCCTGACTATGGAGCCCAAATCTCAAAGAAAAGCCATAGTACCTGTGGGAGCAGCCTGGCCAAAAGGACCTGCCTCCCCCTCCTCCCCCAGACTCCAGGCCTAAGCGTCAGGGACAATCAGCTCCAGCAGGAGTCATAGAGCCTCGTCTCCGCCCAGAAAGCTTCAGCAGACTCCCCAACGCCTGAGTCGCCTCCCACCTGCCCCTCTTAGGGGCGGCATCTTCATGTCAGCCTCTCCACGTGTGCTGGCCCAGTGGCCTGGGAGAAAGCAGACGGCTGCATATGGCAGGGCAGGGCCTCCCCGTGGCTGTCACCCTGGAGATGGAGACGTTTGCCATCAGAACAAGCATTGCCTCCAAGACAAGGAGCCGCCTGGAAGCCCGTGGTCACCGTGGAGACCAGGGCCTCCACCCATCCGGCTCTCTTCTGCGTGTACAAGGCCTGGAGACCAAGCCAGACGAGACTCCTTCCCTCAAGGGAGATCCCTGGGGTGTCCTGGGGGTGGGGGGACATGCCTGCTGGATTTCCTAGCACTGTGGTGGGTGGGCTCTTGGTTATTGCCTTCTGGGGACTGAACAGGCATGTTATAAGCATTCCAAGCTGTGAGGGATAAAGGAAGGTTTCTCTAAATGTTACAGGTGAGAAGACTGAGGCCCAGAGAAGTTAAGTGACTGGTCAAAAGTCACACAGCCTCCAAGTGCTAAAGCGGGATTTAAATCCAAGTCCAGGTCTATGGTCTTCATTACCGTATGTAAAGTAGATGGCCCATGGGATCTACTTTACGACTCAGGGAACTCAAACAGGGGCTCTGTAACAACCTAGAGGGGTGGGATGTGAAGGAAGGTAGGAGGGATGTTCAAGAGGGAGGGGACATATGTATACCTATGGTTGGTTCATGTTGATGTTTGGCAGAAGCCAACACAATACTGTAAAGCAATTATCCTTCAATTAAAAATAAATAAATTTTTAAAAAGTTGTCATTATAGGTGAAGAGAGCAAACCACCTTAAAACAGATGCTTCTTGTACTTTAAGAAGCTCTCAGTTACACAAGTATAAGGTAATTAGGTCTGCTCCTCAGGGCTGCTAACTTGATCAGTATCAAAAAAAAAGTATCGCCACGGAGGGGCTGCTCATGAGAGCAAGGGAGAAAGGCCCTTCTGCATCCCGGCGCTGGCAGAGGCTGGACCAGGCTGGATCTAGCCATCTTCAGCCAGCAGCTGTCCCAGTGGCTATGGATGTGACCTCAGAGCGGATCACGGCAGCTGAACAGTGAGGTTCAGGCCTGGCAGGTGTGACGGCCCCTCCAGAGCCTGGAACCCCTGACTATGGAGCCCAAATCTCAAAGAAAAGCCATAGTACCTGTGGGAGCAGCCTGGCCAAAAGGAC